ATTTTGAACTTTATGCAGATGAAGTAGATGAATATAAATCTCAAATTAGAACATATAGATTTTGGGCTGAAAAGATTTAGCAAAAAATCAATTATTTCATTATACTATAATATTGTAAATGTATATAAAATCCATCTTAAAGCATTAATGTGTAATCATTGTAAATTTTTTTGTTTCGATGTGATTTTTAAGGTATCAAGTTCATTGAGCTTTTATTAAATAATAAGATATTTTCCCAAAAAAAAAAAAAAAAGCAGTAAATCATTGTTATGTATCACATAGATCGTGAAATAATGTGCATGTGCACTATTTCGAATACCGTAATGGCTCAATTCGAAATTACATTCCTGGGTGTTATTTAAAAACACAAGTATGGTCATGTTAATATTTTTTAGTTTTCCAGAGTCTTGTAGATAAGAAACCATTTTTTCGGGTATTCTGTCGTCTACATCATGAGATCTTAAGTCTCTAATGACTTTTTGTAAATTAATTAATCGAATTAATTAAATACCAATTAAATAAATAGATATAAGTATGAACTTTATTTACGTGCATCCATGAGTCGTTCGGTAATTGGACCTTGATTATGAATTTTTGTCTCCCATTCCATTATTTCTACATATCCACCCGGCTTTGTCACACGAATTAGTTCTATAATAATAAAAATTACGTGCATTGCTAAATATTTACAAAGAATGTAATTTACCTTAAGGTAAATATCTGAAATTTACCTGGGATAGCATGAGTCGTCCAAAGATCAGAAGGCAATGCACAATTGAGAAATCTTATATAAGTAAAATCAAAATGATCGTCTGGAAATGGAAGTCCATTTAGCAAATTTGCTTCTACAAAATTTATATTTTGAGGCTTAATTGTTAATGGCATTACTGGCACAACATCAACACCTGTAAATTCGCATTTCGGAAAGTCAGATGCCATTTCTAAAAGCCATGTTGCTGGTCCACACCTATAAAAGTATATCAATCAATATGTTTTTAAAAAGAAAAAGAAATAAAATAATAAAAAGGTGAAAGTTAAACGCATATATTTAGTGAATGTGATATAAATAATAAAATAAGCATTTATTGTGAATAACAGATTTAAACCAACCCAACATCGAGAACCTGAGCATAACCTTCTTCTAGAAGATCACGCATAGGAGAAGAAAAATTCGAGCGCCAAATAAATCTCATCATATAATGTTGTAATTGTAATCTATCTATTTCCTGATCATCATTTGGAAAAAAATAATGAATATTTTCTACATTATGATATCTTCTACCATTTAAAAATTTAAAATCATCACAAAATAATTTTGCAGCTAGAGTAGAATTCCTTAAATTGATTGAACTGGCTGAACGTTTAATTTGGAGATATTTTGACTTAGTAGATGAACGAAATTTTGAAAGACTTATTCCCATCCTTTAAACTAGAATTTGAGCAAATGGTGAAAGACAATACTTTTGTGTGAAGAGTTGAAGAAATAACATTTTTATAAAATAAATACTTTTCTGGCTTTTTTTATAAATTAAATACTTTCCGGCATTTTTTTTTGGTATTCAGACATACAGTACACCACATGGAATATTTTCCGTACAACTAAATCTTTTGCGAATTGAAAATATGTAATCCCGCCGATCAAAACAAATCAGTCAACATGTTGATTTCAACTTTGCAGCATTGGTACAGAATAATATTAAGCACTATCAATAAGCACTATCAATAAGAAATTTTAAAAATTCGGTCTTATGTACATTGTTCCCATTAGGATTTTTGAACAATTTCTAAATTTTAAAAATTTTAGTTAATTATTTTAATTAATTATTTTAATTAGGGATTGTCCCCGTTATAATTAACTACTATAATTAACTTTTTGATGGTAGACACTGTCTACTAGAAATGTCCTATTCCCACATGTTTGTACACCAACTTAGTGCACCAAATAGTTAAGCTCAATAACAAATGTATTTATTAAACATTAACGTTAACCTTGCCTTGCTTAAATCACATTAACGTTATTTCTTAGTAATTAAAAAAATAGATATACCTAATCAATGCTACACAATAAATATATGCGTTGTTAAAATATCATTTTAAATCCGACCGCCATAAAAGTCAATTCGCTTTTCTCCATATACCGTGAGACTTGGTGTTTCCTTTTCCTTTTATTATTGTTTATTTATGATTTTACAAGTTTCATCATCTTTACTACATTTCTTATTTAGTAAATTTATAGTAAATATTCTATTTAAATGTATTCTTAAGTGTAACGGGACATGGAATGACCTATGATAAATAATGTGTGCCAGATCTGTCAAGAAACATTGAATTTTATATTGCGGATTGTATGGACTGACAAAAGGTTATTTATTAGGCCTGCATAGGACCCAGCAAAGAATGCTACATGTATATAAAACCTTTTGACTTCAAACAAAGCATCTTCCTTATGTAAATACGGATTCTTAATTCACCAATTATCAGAAATTAAACCACAAATGGTTATTAATATGATTGATAAGTCTTGGCATCTTGGCTCGGATATCACGTGATACCTTCATAAACGATTTGTATGTAGTAAGACCGGGAAAATGGAAAGAAATTGATCCCCTTTCTAATCGGTCAAGTGTCACAGTGTTACTGTTTACGTATAAAGTTTTGTGTAAAATTTCATTAGACTTTTTAGGAAAAACAAGCAGTGTTGTGAGGGTTACTATGTCCAATTGTTTTCAAAATTAATTGGACATATGTCCAATTGGTTTTGGAAATATGTCCAATTAATTTGAAAACAATTGGACATAGTAACCCTCACAACACT